TGCCTCACTTTTGCTGAGGCTGGCTTTGAATTTGCAATCTTCCTGCCTCAGCCTCCTGAGCCGTTGGTGTGCCCCACTGTGCCCAGCTGGGCCTCACTTTTAAATGGTCTCCAACCACGAGGACTAGAGGGCCTCACTGTCTACCTTAGCCATTTCTATTAACAAATGCCACCAGGTACATGGTGCGTGGGAACAGGAGTCCATGCTGTGCAAAGTCACCCATGAGCTCAGAGTCCTACCTGGTAACTGTGCTTGTAGTCCAGGCCAGCTTTCAGGGACTTGCTTCTAGAGGCAGCGCTGGCCTGAGTGTGCTCCAGGCAGACCTGGAGGCTACCGAAACATTCAGGGAGCAGAGTGGTGTTCCTGCCAGGCCAAGCCATGGCTTTCAAAAGGTCATTCTTCTTGTCACACAGAGCTAAATAAAGTTTCTTCAACTCGAGAGCCAGTTTCTGCAAGGCGGAGGAAGTAGACAGAATGAGCTCTGACCTCAAGAGGCTTCAGTGCTGGCCTCACGAGTGGGGCTGCAGGAATGGCTGACCATACGGGCCCTACCTCGTAGTGCTCCTGCTGGGCAGAGACATCCTCCCTGAAGAGCCCCGGTGTCTGGAGCATCTCCTCCACGCTGCCAAGGCACCGATTGAGGCTCAGGAAGAGTTCAAATAATTTTTTATCCAAATCGTTATATGTTTCTTCTGTCATGTTTTCCTAAATCAAGGAAAAGTAATCATTAGGATTCCTCGTCTTCCTAAACCTACATTTTTTTCCTAGTTTCCATTAAAACTTAAAATTGATATCATACTTTTTTAAAAAATAATAACCCATTTCAAACCAATGATCTCCAGAAACTGAACTAAGCAGGACTCGCACTAATTAGTGAACTCATCTTTTCTATGAAGTAGGTCATAGAATAAATAAATAAAATTAAAATTTTTAACTTTGAGAAAGACAGTTTTAAGAAACTCAAGGTTCGGTTGTTATTTGACTATTGAATGGAATGAAAAGGTAAGTCATAAGATAAAGGGCTTCCTTAGCAGGACCATTCAGGTGCAGCTGTGGTCCCAGGCCAACCACACTGTCCCTCTTCCCCCTGCTTCATGCCCCACACCTTTTAATGGGGGAGAAAGTGGGTTAACGAAATCAAGTACAGCCAGGAAAAAGAAAAGAAGTCATATCAGAGAAACTCAATGGGGTTGATGAGGAAAAGGAGGTACAGTATCTTAAAGACAGGGATGGGTGGTGGAGTGGAGCTGTTGGAACTACCTTCTTTTCTTCACCCATGGTCACCTTGAATTCCTGACTAGTTACAATTATTTAGGAGCATGCCCATGCTCAGAATCACTCCAACTTGAGCTGTTTCCTGCGGCCTTCTCTGATGGATACCTAGCCTGAGTGTGCTCTAGTGAGCATTTGGCATTAAGCCTACTCAAGTTTGGAAACCATACCTGTTCTTCTGCCCTACCCTCCTCCCTTGCCCTTCCAGACCAGCACGGCAGGCAGAACTAATCCATCATCATCCTCTTTCCTATTGATCTTGGGCTCAGACCCAGAATCCTTTGTACACTGCACTCTAGGTAGTCACCACAAAATTTATCAGAGTTGGCGAACAAGATGAATTCTATTTGTTCTATTTGTTCAGTGAAGAAAATTATGACCAATTTAAATGAGGACATTC